AGTAGGAATGCCCAACCTTCCTTCTGAGGAGTGGCTGGTGGGTTTGAACCGCCAGCCTTCTGGTTAGCAGTCAAGTGCCTTAGGCACTATGCTACCAGAGATCCTGTAACTGTGGTATAATACATTATAACATTTGCTAATTCAGCCATCTGCCCACGTGCCATTCACTGACAGACTGCGTCCACCATGTTGTGCCACCATCACCACTATCCAGTTGCCATTTTTCCATGGCCCTTAACAGAAATTTAAAAAAAGAAAAAAAACCACTGCTAACAAGTCAATTCCGACTCACAAAGCCACTAGAAGACAGAGTAGAACTGTCCCACAGAGTTTCCAAGGCCGTCAATCTTTACAGAAGTCAACTGCTACCTTTCTCCCTCGGAGCAGCTGGTGGGTTCAAACTGCTAACCTTTGGGTTAACAGCCAAATGCTTTAACCACTACACCACAAAAGCCCCTTAAGACAACGTCAGTACTCCTTAACCCTATTATTTTTAACCATATGTATTTGTCATCTATCACTGTGTAACAAATTGCCCAGAAATTTAGCAGCTTCAAACAACAAGCATGAATTTATCCCAAAGGTTCTCTGTGGCTGAAGGATCTAGGAGCAGCTTAGCTGGGTGTGGGGGTCTGGCTCAGGGTCTCTCATGAGCTTGCAGTAAAGATGTCTGCTGGGGCTGGAGGACCTGCTTCCAAGCTCATCCAGGAGGCCTCTGTTCCTCCCACCAAGCTGTCTCCAAAGGACGGCTCACAACATGTTCCCCACGTGGGCTCCCCCTGAGCAAATGATCCACTAGAAGAAGAGGGAGAGGGCCTTCAGGCGGCAGCCAGTCGTTTTATAACCTGATGACCTTGTATAAGTGTTAAGCACAGATGTCACTTTGAGGTCTGAGGTATGTCTGATTCAAGCCCTGGTTTTCAGTGGCCTCGTATGCATGCAAAAACTGAACAGTGACTAAGGAAGACCGAAGAATTGATGTCTTTGAATGACGGTACTGGCAAAGAATACTGAACAGACCATGGGCTGCCAGAAGAATGAACAAATCTGTCCTGGAAGAAGTGCAGCCGGCATGCTCCTTGGAAGCGAGAATGGCCAGACTTCGTGTCACTTCCTTTGGTCATGTTGTCAGAAGGGACCAGTCCCTGGAGAAGGATGTCAGGCTTGGTAAAGTGGAGGGTCAACGAGAAAGGGGCAGGCCCTCAACGAGATGGACAGACACAGTGGCTGCAGCGATGGGCTCGGGTGCAGCAGGGACTGTGAGGCTGGCGCGGGGCGGGCAGCGTGTCATCGTGTGTGCGTGAGGTCGCCGTGAGGAGCAGTCCGCTTGACAGCACCTAAGAAGAATAATATATAAAGTCGCAGAAGTGACATGTGATCCTTTCTGTGACATCTTACGGGTCACGGAGCCCAACACTGGCCCCACGTGGGAGAGGACTGAATGCCAGGCGGTGGGGGTCACCGCGGGCCACCTTGCCGGCTGCCTCCCGACCTCGGGGGCTCGTCTTCCAGCAGCAGACGTTCCATGGTGAACTGTCCCACAGCCACTGGCTAATTTTCAGAGGCAGGGTGCCAGGTCTGTCTTCCTGGTCTGTCTTGAGCTGGCAGCTCTACAGAAACCCGTCCACCCCGGGTGACCGTGCTGGGATGTGAAA